GGGGTGAATGCATTTAATGTTGAGAGGAGCTGTTCCTCCTGACTCTGGGTCAGAATCTCTGCTCCTGGTGCAAATTATAGTCCTGACTCATCCCTTTAGGGTGTGGATAGGGTGTAGGGGGCTGGTGGGGTGTTTCAGTGATTGAAAATGACCAGATTCCTTATTGTTCTATTGACAGGATTCTCGAAACTGGCAGCTCTTAATCAGAGAAGCTCAGTAGAATCATCTAGGAGCTTTTTCAAAATACTTTTGCCTGGGTTCTATCCAAGACCTGCTGAATTAGGCCTAGGCATGTGCATTTTGAAAAAAAGTGTCCTAGATCAGGACATTTATTTATTTATTTATTTATTTTTTTGGCAGCTGGCTAGTACAGGGATTTGAACTCCTGACGTTGGTGTTATAACACCATATTCTAATGAACTGAGCTAACAGGCCAGTCCCTTGCACAGCTGTTTTAAACCCACCTTTTCTTTTTTTTTTTTTTGGAGACTGGCCGCACCACGCTCAGCCAGTGAGCGCTGTGAGCACACCGGTCATCCCTATATAGGATCCGAACCCGTGGCAGGAGCGCTGCTGCGCTCCCAGCGCCGCCCTCTCCCAAGTGCGCCACGGGCTCGGCCCCCAAACCCACCTTTTCTGATAGCTGAACATTTTGTTTTCCCCTAAAACCTTTGCATTATCATTTGCATAACTTTTATTGTACTGCTTAATTTTTCTATTTGCACAATGGAGGATGAAATGAGAAAAACTGGGGGATGCAGAGGGGTCTTGTAGCCATTAGGACTTACTAAAATAAAAGTCTTTAAGACTCTACTATTTATTCTTGCAAAGCTCTGGCTTAAATGCTGGCCTGTCTCCATAATCCCAGTCTTCATTTACTCCCTAGTGATGGAAGCGTGTGGCAGTTATTGGGACAGCATGGTAGCTGATGGGTCTGAGTAACTGACTGAGGACACAGAGTTCCTGGGGGTAGTGACTAGGGAGCAGGAAGTAATTGCCCTTCTTGAGTGTCTGTCTTCCCCCCAGCGCTTCAGCATGGAAGGCATCTCCAACATTCTGCAGAGCGGCATCCGCCAGACCTTTGGCTCCTCAGCAACTGACAAGCAGGTACGAGCAGCCCCCTGCTCCCGGCTCTCCTCCTAGACTCTTGCAACTTGGCTTTCCCAACAAAGTGAGGGGTTGGTGACTTACCAGAAATATCCCAGTGTTTGGGCAAGGAGGGTCCTAACGTTTTCTTCCACTCCTAAGGAAGAACAGAAAGTATCTTTTTAAAAGGTAAACTCTTTTTTTGAGCTTTATTATTCTAGGACATGGACAAAACTTAAAACTCAACACTGCTTGTAGGTCTACAAATTAAGTTATTTTAAGGACAAAGTGCATGAAAAGGGAATGCATTTCATGATAGATCCTGTCCTAGAGTTTAATTCTCCCACCACATTTGATTGCCAGCTGAGCCAATCCCATGACTGCCTCTCTGCTGCCCGGCTCTGACTGTAACCCACACTGTGACTTCTCCTCATTGGCTCCATTGAGTCAACAACCTGTGAAGTAGCTTGCATTTCTGGTTATTAAGATGTCTTTCAGAATTTTATCGCGTGCCTGTTATGTGCTGCGTTGCCAGGCACTCAGGTACAAACGTGAAAGGTCTTGGTCCCTGCCCAGATGGGGTGCATAATCTAACAGGCATGGCTGGTGTGGGAACAGACAAGTTTGAGATTGGGAATAAGTGCACATGGAATGTGTTTTAAACATATTGCAACTGAATCATAAGTGTTGGAATTCTGGAACTGCCGCATGGGAAGAGATTTTAGGAACATCTAACTCAGCTATCTCCTTTCATAGCAATGAGAACTAAGACCCAGAGAGACGAGGCATTTTCCCAAGGCCACACTGCCAGTGGCAGAGATAAGACTAGAATAGAAGCTTCTTGACTTTTGGCCTGGAATTCTTCTCACTCATTACTCCAGGATCCCTTAGGACCAATGGAGGCCTCTCTGGCCTGGGTTCATTGGTGTCCTGAAGATGCAGGTTTTGTTGTAGGAGCATGTCACATCCAGCAGAGGGAGCAATCCCAACAGCCAAGGCCTTGGGCAGGGTCCAGGTTCTCCCTCCTGTCATTTTTGACAAAGAAGGAACAATGCCTTCTCAAATTGCGTTGCAAAGGATAAGAAAATAGAATCCCCCTGGAGAGTCTATTTTTCAGGCTCTCAGCCTGAAGGAGAGAAAGCTTCTCAGGATTCCTAAATAACCACGAAGTTTCTAGTGTAGGAAGAATGTAGACATTGGGATGGAGGGAAGTTTTTCCTGCCTAAATATAGGAAAGTTTTACATTTAAAGAGACATCCCCCACAAAGGTAGGGGGAAAAGTTCTGAAATAATGGTGTGCCAGTGACCGTGTTGTTGGGAATGTCAGTCTTGCTGGGGTGTGTGTGCCTTAGAGAAAAGCAGCCACCCCATGCAAACTGTTGGCTATATCTCAACCCCAGAGGGACCATGTCTTGCAATATCTCAAGCCCTGCGTGCCCTGTTTGTCTTGCAGTATCTGAACACAGTCATCCCTTACGAGAAGAAAGCCTCTCCTCCCTCGGTGGAAGACCTACAGATGCTGACAAACAGTGAGTTCCCTTGTTCTCAGTCAGATCAGCCACTCCTTTTTCCTCTTCCCTGCCTCAGGCCCAAGGTTTCCCGAGAGCAGTTTTAGATGGGTTAAAATATGCTCCACATCATAGTATTATGTCCTCCTGCACAGGGTAAAATTAACATACTGCGTGGTGATACCATACCCAGAGCTGTCTTTTCTTTCCCCTGGTTCCTGTAAGGGAAGAGACCTGCTAGGGTAAAAAATGAGTTGGTGAAAGAGGTTGGGCGTGGAGGACAGTACCAGTATAGGGGACTTTTTTGGGTTTTCTTCAGCAGTTCTCAGGGCTTTGCGTTCTCTGCCTCACCTGTTCTCTCCTCCTGAAACTTGGGGCTGTCTGGTCTGCACTTGTGCCCATTGAAGCAGGGAGCCTGGTCTACAGGCCTGGCTGTATTTTTAATGAGAAGCAAGATTTCTTGAGTGGGGTAAGGCTGATTGGAAAGAATTCAGTCTAGTTTTCCTTCCAGGAAGTGACTGCCCCCTCTCCTACCCTTTGGCTCTGTTGTCAAATTTTTTTTTTTTTTTTTTTTTAAAGATGACCGGTAAGGGGATCTTAACCCTCGACTTGG